TAGGAAGGACTGGATTCAACCCCCAGAGCAATATAGTTGGAGAGAATCACTTTGAACCTCAGCCAAAATATGCAAAGCTAATTACTTAACTGTTAATTACCAAGTGTTTAAGAAGTCATTTGAAGGCAACTAAGTTTCCACCCATATTGCAAAAAAAAAAAAAAAGTCAATAATTTTTATCATCCAGTTAAGTCCTTATTCAAAGTCACATACTAAAACTGTAAAAATAGCACTTTTTTTGGAGGGGGGGGCTTGGGGCTACACCTCACAATGTTCAGGGTTTGCTTCTGGTCCTATGCTCAGAACTCCTGGCAGGCTCAGTGGACCATATTGGAGGGAGGGAGGAACAGGATGGAGCCTAGGACAAGTGTATGTAGGCCAAGAGCTCTACCCACTGTACTATCTGCCTGGCCCATGAGTAACACTTTACAGATGGGATTTTGTGCATTTATCTCCCAACTGGTGCTCAATTCTCAGGAAATTCAGGACCTCACCAGTCAACCATGCCAGGGTTCAATATCAGCATCCAGGATGCCATGTTACTCCAGCTCTGCAGTGCCACATCGTGCCACTGCAACAGTGCTGGAGGCACAAGGAATCCCAAGAATCTAACCACTGGACTGTCCCAGCCTCCAAACGCGATTTTTTTTAACCTATACGTCCAAATATCAAATGCTATGAACACTAAAGGCTTGATGAACAGTATTATATGCCTTTTAAATAACAGACTATTTAGCTGTGTTCTACAAACAAAGCTACTTAAGAAACAAGTAGAGCCCAACAGAAATTGGAAATATAATCAAAGTCTATTAGGTCAAATGGAAACATGAGACTGCTCATAAAACTGATAAAATCTGGTTTGAAATTATTTTTAACTGAAATAGACACAATTCTTCCACAATTCTTCCACCATATTTGGAAGTTAAGTATTTATCAGAGTTAGTTTCTGTGCAGAGATCTTGGGCTAAAGGTATTTTCTCAGCAGTATCACTGACTCAAAACATAAGTTGGCTGAGGAATTTTGCTAACAAACTCACAAATTAGCAAATAACTCAAAAGGTACAACAGCCCAAATGAATGCTCACTAATGAAGGACATCCTTAACAAGGAGGGAATGTGATACAAAGTAACTTTCCAACTGAAAACATCAAATTAGGTAGGTCTTTAAGCAATTCTGCAAAGCGTCACCTGGAAAACTAAAAACCTATGCATTTAAACACTCCACAAAAGCAATTTCAGAGAATCTGAACTCAACAAGTTAATAAAATTGCTTAGAAAAATCATTTTATCGTTTCAAGCCTTGAGGGATAAAGCTGTTTGTAATTTATTTACGTCTCTTACTTCACTAAATTGCTTTGGTGACCAAGCTCCCCACTTTCGTGATTAAAGACATAAACTCAAATAGTTTAATAAAGCAATTACACTAACAGTCCTATTTTCAACTGAGGTGCACTGGAAAATAATACCGATAGAATGTTTAGCATCCATTATTTCCTGGGGAGTTCATTCTTCAGAATACAGTACTCCCATTGACAAGACTTTGCTAGGTTTACAGAGGCATTGAACAAACTGGATTTAAAGTGACGTTTTTTCCGCCTCTCAGTATCAGGTGAAACAATGACAGCACTTTCAATCTGTTTATGTATGACTTGGTCTATAATTCAGGTGGAAATGCTTCTACTTTTTCTTATTATTCTCCCGCTCTCTAATACTATACCTACCTAAGTAACACATTTTCCAGGTGGGCATGAAACTCTCTCTGATTTTCAAAGTTCCATATTTAGACAGGGCTCTCCCTACCCTTGGGTTCTTTTCTAGCCAACTTCTTATGTTACACTAGTGACATTACTTTGAAGCAAAAGGTTGCCCTAAATATAAAACTGTCTTTATAGAGTTTGGGTGAGAAACTAGGCTAGTAGAGTTTTTAAAAATATATAGAATTTAATAAAAAAAAATATATATATATATTTTTTGCTGGCTGGAGAAACAGTACAGGGGTTCAGGCCCCAGCCTTGCATACAGCTGACCTGTTTCGATCCCTGGCAGCCCTTATGGTTCCTCCCTGTGAACCACCAGGAATGATGCCTGAGCACAGAGTCAAGAGTACCTGAGTATTGCTGGGTGTAGCCTAAAATATATATAAATATATATATGTTTGTGTGTGTGTGTGTATCTATATACATGTGTGTGTGTATGTATGTATATATGCAAAAATGTACTTAAGCTCTTTTTGCAGTGTTAGGGATGAAGTCAGGTCTCAGACATGCAAAGCACCCGCTTTACCACTGAGTCACATCCTGGGCCTCTGTGTATTTTCCTCTATTTTTTTTTTCTTTTGAAGCACCTTCCTTTGCCTGTAATGAGAATCACGCAAACTTCTTTGCTAAGTGTATCCTGAAAAGCAGATGGAAGCAAAACAACAAATCTTTCCTAATTCATATCCTCCTGTTTGTGGTATCAAGCCTATTTAATACTTTCATTGTTGTGTTACAAAATTCTCATTCTTTCATGGAAGAGAAAAAAAGAGCACAGAAAGGTGGGGAACATGGTTGGGAGGCAGAGACCGCGCGCTTGCACCTGTGGGGCACAGGGTTCAAGTCCCAGGACTACCAAAATAAAGAAGGTGTGTGGGGGGGGAGGGGTACCAAAAAACCTTCCCCCCAGTTCATTCACAAAGAATTAAAATGGGGGGGAAAAACCCAGGTCTATGAAAACATTTAACACTTTCACTTGATAAAACTATCCTCCGCAAACTTTTAAGATAATTTTTGCCAAATATCTTAGATACAAATAAAGCAAGTAAACATGGAAAACATTCACATTTCAAGGCACTTTCTCTGATTTAAATGATAATAGATGTGAAGGGCCAAATTAGTAACAACTAAAGGAACATCACATTGATAGGGTTCACCCTTCAAAAGGTTGAAAATCCTTGGGAGAATCCTCTACTGCTTTCTCTGTAAGGTCTGGTGGTGAGTTCTAGCGTCCAGTAGCCGTTAGAAACTGGCCCACTTCTGCCACATGCCAAGTTCTACGCCGGGTCAGTGTTTTATTCTATGCCACAATGCTGGCCCGGGAACAGGCAAGTTTAACAGTTCATTTCTTTCACACAATCCACAGTCACAGTGGAGGTTTTGTTTCTCACAGACTTGTTTGGTGACACCCCCCACCACACCTGATAGCAAGTTTCAGGTCATTGCTATTCTAATTAATCAACTGCAGATCCTACTACTTTTCCCTTCTCTGATTTCCACTAAATGCCTCTGACATCATTTTCTGACCTGCCTGCTACGTTCTAATACTCTCCGCAAGTGTGATTTCACTTGGCACTTCAAACACTGAACGTAACTGAAAAATATCACAGACATTTGTTTCATCACTGCGCAGCAGAAGGGAAGGGCATTTCCAGAGCAAAGAGCCTCCCAGGCAAAAGATGAGGCCAAAGATTCATTTGACAATTTCAAACAACCCAGATGAAGGGGCCACCTAAGGGGAGTGCAAGGCTCAGGAAAAAGATTAGCAAGACAGAATGGTCCTTGTTTCTGAGAAGACATTCTTCACAACAGGAACTTTCTGGAAACACTGTGAAATGAATTTTCTTCTAAAATCAGCCCCCATTTTCCGCCTTTTGGGCAATGGGCAAACTCTATAAATCCCCAGATGCAGAGGGCTTTTTCAAGAAAAATGAAGCATCAAAAAAATGGCACTAGGTGCTATTCTGGTACCCAGTCCAAAAAGGGAGCCAGTAGAGGAATCTAGTTTGCCCTGCTCTCTGCACATTAAATAATAAAGGTCGGAGAAGGAGAGCATTTGGTTGTGAACAGATGGCCTCCAACACCTAACAGGAGAAGTCACTTTTTTCAAGCTGTAGCTCCTAACCAGCTGAGGTGGGGGAAGGTGGTCCCATGCATGAATCAGGAGGGTTTGTCCTAAAAAGCTTGGCCATGAGATCCCCAGTAACCATGGGCCGGACGCACAGGAATATGCGTCACTATTCAGACAGCAAAACCCCTCCAGGAAAAAAAAAAAATCCAAGACCACATTTTTATAAAATTTCCCTTCTCTGGTCCAACTTGAGAGGACCAGCTCCAACGCCAAGAGCACTCCCTATTTCAAGTGGGGGGCGGGAATCCTGAAGGTAAGCGAAAGCAACAGCAAGGTGAGCAAGGTGAACTTATCTCATTTTGACAAGAATGTGCAAACACCCAAAGAATCCGCAGGGTGCCCTGCCCGAGGGAGGGGGGGGGGGTGTATCTGAATATGCCCGCCCTGCAGTTCTGTCTGCTAGGGGAAGGGAAAGCAGCCAGCCAGCCAAAGCTATTCAAAACCCCCGCCCCTAAACGGGAAAGCGCAAACCCCCCTTCCCCCCCAACACACACACACACACACACACACACACACACACACACTTTTCAAAAATAAAGCCGTCGCGTGTGTATCCGAGCAGAAATTCACAAGGTCCTCGCGGATCAGTCTTCCGCAGAGCCCAGAAGTTTCCTGTCTCCCCCCGACCCACACCACGCAACTCCAAAGGTCCCAGGCAGGGCCACCCGCCCGCCTGGGGAAAGGGGCCTGCAGCCAGGGTGGCCCAAGTGCCGGCGGGGGTGGGGAGACAAGCTCCCGCAGAGCCCAGGGCTCGGGGAGACAGCTGGGAAGAGGGGGAGCAAAGGACAGAATTCCCTCCCCCCACCTCCCCCCGGGGCAAAGGTAGAAGGAAGGTCAGTCGGCAAAGGGCAGCAAAAATAAATAAATAAATAAATAAATAAATAAGAAGGTGGCAGGCAGGGATCGGACCTCAGGGTGGCCACGGGGCAAGTGTCCCCCGAGGGATGCCTTTGGAAGTTGTGGCGGGGTCCTGGTGGCAGAAGCGGGGTACAGCGGGGGCAACTCTCGGGAAGCTCGAGAGACGCGGGGGAGGGTGCAGCCCTTGGGAGGCTCCCAGCCTGCCCGGGAGAATCGGGGGGTTGGGGGAGGGGGGAGTGCGCCCGGTGGAGTCTCACCTGGGGGGTCCTCTCGGCGGGGTTCTTCATCACCGCCTGGCGGAAGCTGTTATCCACGTAGGACGCCATCTCCCCCCGCGGGCCGGGCCGGGGCCGCTCGGCACCCTCGCCGGCCTCCTCCCGGCCCAGCGCCGCGGCTGCCACCGCCCCGCGCGCTCCGCCCGGGGCTACGAAGCCGAACGGCGGCGGCGGCGGCGGCGCGGGGGCCCCCGGGGGCCGGGCCGAGCCGAGCGCGGGACGAGGCCGCAGGGACGCGGCGCCCGGGACCTCCGCTCCGTCCGCTTCGGCGTCCCCGCCGCGCTCCCCGCGGGTCGGGGTTCGACACGCCTCCCCCGGCTCCACTCCGGGAACGGCGGCGGCTTGTCCGGGCTCCCACCCACCCACCCACCCAACCAACCCCCCCTGCACCCGCGGGCCTGAGTTTCTGTCTTTTTTCGGGAGGTGCGGGCGACCGGCGGGGCCGGGCCTCCTTTTGCTCTGGCTCTTGCTCTCGCCCTCCTCCTTCTCCTCCTCCTCCTCCTCCTCGGCGGCTGTCGGCGAAGCGCTCGGCTCTACCGCGTCCCCCGCGCCGCCGCGGGCTCAGGTCCGGGCGCTGCGCGGCGCGATCGCCGTCCGGGCGGCGCCTGGTCTCCGTCTACTGGGCTCGGCCGCGCCTCCCGACTGCTGCTGCATCCCCTCGGGCCGCCCCGCTGCTGCTGCTGCTGCTGCTGCTGTTGCTGCTTCTGCTGCTGCCGCTGCCGCCGCCGCCGCCGCCACCACCACCGCCGCCGCCGCCGCTGCCGCTGCCGCCGCCTCTGCTGCTCGGGCCGCCGCCGTGGGCTCCGCCGCCGTCGCCGCCTCCCCCCATCCGCGCGCCCCGAGCGCCGCTGCCCGGGCGCCGCCGCCGCGGCCAGACGCCCCCCGGCCCGGCTGGCAGAAGCTCCGGCCCAGTCGCTCTCGGCAACTTTGTTCCCGGTGCGCGTCGAGCGGGGTGGAGGGAAGTGGGGGGGGGGGGTGAGGGGAGGGGAGTCAGGGAGGGGGGCGCGGGCAACCCAGGTCCAGACTCCCGGGTGGCGGGCGGGCGGGCGGGCGAGAGCCAAGAGCCGCGCACAGCCCCCCTCGGAGAGTGTTTGGGAAGCGGCAATTCCCCTCCTCTTCCTCCGCCTCTTCCTCCTCCTGCGCCTTCTCCGGCCGCCCGAGCCGCTCCTCAGGGAGGAAGCGGCCTCCGGGGCTTGTTGCTTTGTGCTGCAACCATGGTGAGGAGTGAGTGGCGGCGCCTCGGGCCAATCGGCGGGCGCCGCATCACTGAGGGGGCGGAGCTCCCGGGGCTCTCAGTCCCACCCCCTGCCTCCCCCCGCCCTCTCCCCCCCCCAACCCTGCGCCCCTGCCTGTCGCGCCGGCGGCTCAGCCGCGCCCTCCCTCCCCGGTGGCACCTACGGTTGCTCCCAGGTGAGCCCGGCGGCGCCGCCGCCGCCTCTTCTAGAAGGTCGCCGCGTCTGCGGCCGAGCTGACGCGACGGGTCGCAGTGGTGGAGCGGGGGGGAGCGAGCGCGAGTTGGGATGCCCCGGCTAGAAGCGCGGGATCTGCCGGCCGAGCCTCTCCTCCCGGCGCGGGACGACCCCCCCACCACCAGCCCCGCAGACTCACAGCCCACCCGGTGCCTGTGCGACCTGGCGACCCCGCCGCGTCGGGTCGTCGTCTGCTCGTTTCAGGACTGGCGCCGCGTGGAGACCCCAGGGGCTCCTGGAAGTTCCATTGACCCGCCGCAGAAGTCTGGCCAGCGTCCTTGGGCGTTCGTCCCGAAGCCCGCGTTCTCCCGAGTGCAGACGAATCCTCGGTTTTGTAACGTGCTGCAGTTGGTGCAGGCTCTGGTGCTCTGCCTCGGGTGCCCACACAACGACTTTCCTCCACTTGCGTGCCCGTGAAATAGGACTGCATCCATTTCAGCAGCTCCAAGACCACCCCGAAACCTACAAACACGCCAGATGCTTTTCTTTTTTCCTCTTGATCTGCCAAAAAGATGGAACCAGGGGTCTCCAGCGTACAAGGCTCGTGGTCTACCACTAAGCTCTGGCGCTGGCCCCAGCTCCCCAGATTTAAAGGTGATCAGACTTTAGAGCCCCTGACAGAAAAAAGTTCTGCAACATGATCACAAACACTGCCAGGTCTGACTGCGTTATGCAGAGCAAGACCCCTTCTCCAGACCCCAGATTTCCAAGCCCCGGTCTGTTTGGTGCAGAGAAGTGTACCGCAGAGGACCGTGGCCCTTTAAGAAGTCATCGCCCCTGCAGCGTTGTCTCCCCTGCCTCTCTGAGCCAAGTGGAGGTGTGTAAGGTCGACCAGGCTTTGAGCAGAGCTCTGCTGTTCTGCTCCTAGTTTATTTTTATCCGCCTCCTCTCCCTCACCCCTTCCCAGCAAAGTTCATGTTTTGATGTCGAGATGGAGGCTATACTTAGAAGAGCATAGGTCCTTTGATGACCTACTACGCTGAACTTTTTTCCAACGTTCACACACATGCCTTTTCACACCTAGTTTATTTTAAATGCCCATAGTAGGTGGCAAGCAAACATTCTGGGTTCCTTAAGTCCCTGGTGTGGCATTAAATGGCATGGCTGGCTGAGAGAAGGAACTTTACGTTGGTGATACCAGACCCTTTTCTGCGCTCTTGCTGAAAATCCTTCTCTTCTTTTTGCTCATTCCTTGAGCCCCAGCATCCTTTCTTGGGTCATAGTCCACCACCTCCTCCGCAGAGGAGCACGAATAATGCCACTTCAGCTCTACAGTCAAGGGAGAGAAGAAAGGGGGGGGGGGGGGGATCACATTCAATGAAGTGAAAAAATATACCTGACACCTCCATCTGGTGTCTAATAGACATTTCAAAATTAGCATGTGCAAAACAGACTCCAGCTCTTTAAATGTGTCCTTTCTGCTATCTTCCCCACTCCCATGAATGCCATCGACACCTGCCCCGCTCCCTGGGTGAAAAACCTCGGAGTCTTCCTCCCCTCCTTTCTCTCATCCCCACAAATAACAGTAAACCTGTCGGCTTACTCTTCAGAGGACCAGATCTACACTGTAACTTCTACCACCACCTCTCCTGCTCTCACCCTGAGCCCAGTCAGCAGTAGCTTTGGCCCAACCTTTGCAAATAACCTTTTCCGCGCCCTGTTTGACCCTGCCTCTAGCAATCAGCTTCCTAGTGCTGCAACCAGAGTGAATCTCCTCTTCTGCTCAGGTGACTCCCCTGCAGAAAACTATGCATAAGGAGCCAGAAAGACAGCACAGGAGTTGAAAAACACTTGCTTCCTTTGCATCCTGCAGACCCAAGTTCAAATCCCTGGCATCACTTACGGTCCCCAGAGCACTGTCAGGGCTTACTCCTGAGCACAGAGCTAGAAATGGCCCTTGAATACAGGTAGGTGTGACCCAATATATAAAATAAAACTATCCATTAGCGGCCAGAACCATAGCACTGATGTTGCATGCTGCCAAACCCAGTTTGATTCCCAGTGCTACATGTTCCCCCAAGCACCTCCGGGAGCAACTTCTGGACTCAACTCCCAAAGCACAGAGCATGGTATAGCCCCTATGCACTGCCCAGTGTGGCCAAAAAAACTAAATGAATAAAGCATCCAATAGTAGGTATGAATGCATAGTTCCTTGCAAAGTACCTAGACTATGTCCTTAACAAAACAACATATGATTTAAATCATTCTCTTCATCCCACTCCTTTGAGGCTTGTAGAACAGTCATTAGCATACTGTTTACAGATGAGGAACCAGAGACATAAATAGGTTACATTACTTGCCCTACTTCCGGACCTGCCTTTAACTTTGGAAGGGCCTTGGGCTAGCTAACAGGTGATCCAGGTAGCATATCATAAATACTTAAAACTATAAATTAACTGGAACATGGTGTCATAAGTACAACTAGTTTTTTGCCTGAAACATGCAACCCTTTTCCTTCCTGAGCTCCATCACACATAGAAAGACCCATCCACCCCTCAAACACACACACAGAGCATGCTTATACAAAATGCATCATGCATCTCACAAAAGCTGCCCCTGAGCAATTTGTGGGGTCATTATCCAGCCTTGAAGATCAGACTTGAAAGAGGTAAGACAGCAGCTTGATGACTCTGAAGGTATTCGGTGAGCCTCCAGGTAAGAGATTCGGTGAGATCTTCAAAGCATGGTCAGTGAACAGTGATAACCTCAAATGATCCCCAAATTTTTCCATCTAGGGAATCTTAAATTCTATGTGCAAGCCCAACTTGTTCTATTTTTTTTTCATCAGTGACCTCAGGTAAGGCATAATAGTATGTCTTATCCAGCAACAAAATGACTAACTCACCGACAACTTCTAAACTATCATTTAACCTTAATTAAAGCTAATGTTCTCACTATTAATAACCTACTTATCTACGTATGTCAATAATGCTTATCACCAGTTAGCATCTAGGACATCTGATATTTGGCATGGATTGCTGTTGCATTAACATTTGAGCACTAATGGTTTGCTAGGTACAACACAAATGACAGAATTCTAGACAGATTTACCGATTTTCTAATTATCCTAAACCAAACTGCACCAACAAACTATAATCAAAGCAAGCCATCTTTTATGCTGCCTCATAAAGTTTTTTTATACAGTCTCCACTATCATATTACCTAAAAAGAAAAAAAAATACAGAGGATATATTATGAGACAGAATGTTTGGGTTGTAAGTAGAGCAATACATCTCCAGATCTGACTTTTAATGTCATTCTACTAGTAACGGAAAAACTATGATATTTTCTATCGGGCAAGTATTCAATATGCCAAACACAGTAACAACAAGTCTCAAAATGGAGACGTTACTGGGCCCCCTTGAGCAAATTCTAACACATCCTTAGATATATCATGTAAGCTAGGCATTGAAGTCAATTTTTAAAGTGAGTTAAATGATTTAAAATAGAAATTCTGTTCTTTTCTCCCCACCCCAGCGAGACCCCGAGTCGCCGCCCACAAATGGCCTCTCTAGCTATGATCAAGCCGGTTAATGGCCATGATCCCTGAGACTCAGAAACAAATCTCGGAACCCAGCGGCTTTTGGCAGAAATGTGTCTGGACCCTGCAGTAGATTACTGTCGCAGGACCACCCCAGGGGGGAAAGGGTGCTGTCCCTCCGCCTGTTCCC